TACATCTTTGCAGTTTTTGTATTACTGTATGCAATAAGAATTATAAGAATCACTATTAATAGTAAGTATTACCAAAATAATAATACTTATTACTATTAATACTGTATGTGTATTTATCTGTATTTTTAGTATAATGTACATAATTATCCTAAATTAATGAAACCCGCCAATATTGTAAAACTTTTAAGGCTTTCAATAATTTATTGAAGGGTTGAAATGTCACATGATGCATGGCAGGCTGTTGTAATACAGCATGATACAGTGTAGCATTGCAATCCCACACGATACAGGGTAGAATTGCAATGCTACATAATACATGCTAGTGTTGCCATACCAGGCGAGACATGTCTCTGGTGAAATTCACACCATGGCGCGCTCCTCAAAATTAAAAAATAATTCAATGCAAGGAGCACGAGGTTATAGCGAGGGAATGGTGTAGCCTCCATCATTTATGATTGTCTCTGATTGTCGTACTGATTGTCTCCTCTACAACCAGATGACTGACAAGTGTCCGCCGTTCAAGGCTCGTCATGAAGTCATCTTCAACAGAGTCAAAACACAGTGTATGATTATTCCCCAGAGAAGTCCCAAGGTTAGTTGAGGTGTAGCTCTTGGCCCCCCACTCCTCCTTGCCCCGACACGCGCACACATCTAACCACAAAGTTTCTTTTTTAAACGTTCTTCGAACGTTGTGTCAAAGTAACAACAAAGTTGCGGTTATGTTACTGCAATCTTGCGGCAGAGTAAAAAATCATCTTTTGTGATAACGCTGTTGCACTATTACAGCAATAATAACATTAGCGTTGTGGCAAAGGTGTTGCAACATTGTCTCAAAGTAGCGTTAATGTTGTGGTTACTTTGTTGCAACGAGGTAACATGTATGTTATCGTTACGCTGTTGCAACGTTGCAGCGAGGTAACATTAACGTTGTTGGAACGTTGTAGCAAGGTAACATTAACATTGTGGTTACGTTGTTGCAACATTGCAGCAAAGTAACATTAACGTTGTCATTACATTGCATCAAAGTAACATTCAAACTGTGGTTATGTTGTTGCGTTAAAAGTAACGTTGTGGTTGCATTGTGTGTTTGCAGGGCGTGCTCTCTCAGCTATGTCGAGAGCGTTGCTTCTCTGTGTCGCATCATCACCAATGACAATGATTGAAATGAGAATTGTAGAAAATCATTTTAAAATGGGCAATTGATGAGAACGGAATCAATTGGTGTAGTGAATGTCTTGACCTGAGCTTTGTCCGTGTTTATGTTTAGCTTTCATTGTTGACATTTGTATACTTTGGGATCCTTCAGCTGACACCCTCAGGTGACACCAAGAGATGACACCCTCGGGTGACACATTCATGTGACACCCGAACACAACACCTTCAGGTGTCACCTTAGGGTGGACACTCCGAAATGACACCTTCAAGTGACATGACCCGGTGACAAAATTGAAACAGATGAAAACACATCAAATTTCCTAGTCAGGAGCTCTCATGACAGCTTCATTTATGACACAATTGTAGGCTGATGCTTGTCATATGACAGCTTAGGCAGGTGACAATCCAAGCAAGAGTATCGGTAAAGGCTGATTCAAGTGCTTAGTTGACAGCTTGAGTGACAGTTCTTGTTCAGATATTCACGTATACATGTCTATGTTCATTGTTGTAATTGTTTTAGTAATTGTTCTTTGTTGTATATTCCTTTAAAGAGCTAGATCCGTAATGGATGTTCTAAATGTTATTTTTAAGGAGAAACATCTGTATTAGATGTTCTAAATGTTATTTTTAAGGAGAAACATCTGTATTAGATGTTCTAAATGTTATTTTTAATGACAAATATCTGCAATAGATGTTCTAAACGCTATTTTCCAAGGGGAAAATAAGGAGAAACATCTGTATTAGATGTTTTAAATGTTATTTTTAAGGACAAATATCTGCAATAGATGTTCTAAACGCTATTTTCCAAGGGGAAAAATCTGTAATACATGTTCTAAATTAATGTGTTTTTAAGGAATAGATGTACTAAATGTTATTTTTTAAAGAAAAAATCTGTAATAGATGTACAAAATTTCATTTTCCAAGGTGGATAATCTGCAATAAATGTAGTCGATGTTATTTTCAAAGGTGGGAACCTTGTGTAATAGATGTACTAAATGTTATTTATAATGAACAAAATCTGTTATAGATGTATTAAATGATATTTACTAAAAATTATATAATATGTGTATATGTTTATCAAAAGTACTGCACATTACTGACAAAGGTGCAGCGCCTGTTACTCCACAACTGAGGCACATATTCACCATTGCTGTTCCTTATCTCAGCCAACACCTGTTGTACATGTTGGGTAGGTGAGAATGATTAGCAGATCACTGAGAACTGTACCCACTCATCACGCACTTGTCACACACTTGTCACACACTCATCACACACTCGTCACACACTCATCACACACTCGTCACACACTCGTCACACACTCATCACACACTTGTCTCACACACACACATACCAAACATAAACAAACAGCACCACAGGTGTTGTGCATGGTCGTAGTCATAATTTACCCTACGGTCGTAGTTGTAATTTACCCTACGGTCGTAGTTGTAATTTACCCTACGGTCGTAGTCATAATTTACCCTATGGTCGTTTGCAGTCATAATTTACCCTACGGTCGGTTGCAGTCATAATTTACCCTACGGTCGGTTGCAGTCATAATTTACTCTACGGTCGGTTGCAGTCATAATTTACCCTACGGTCGTAGTCATAATTTACCCTACGGTCGTAGTCATAATTTACCCTACGGTCGTAGTTGTAATTTACCCTACGGTCGTAGTCTTAATTTACCGTACGGTCGAAGTCATAATTTACCCTATGGTCATAGTCGTAATTTACCCTACTAATATATGATGGAAGAGTGGCCAGGGAACAGGAGGGGAACCCACTGGCATAGGAAGATGTTCTCAACACGTGCACATGGCAACTATGCAAGGAACACACACGGTAAGCATACCACATGTGATATCATGCTAGGTGGACAGTTGGCTGATGACATCACGTGACAAGCTGATGACATCGTAATGGCATACACATGTTGAGGCATAGTTACATCCATGCAAGAAGTTCTTGATGTTATTTTACGATGAATTCGGGTCCTTAGCGTCCCCGTGGCCCGGTCCTCGACCAGGCCACCTTTTTGTTACACACCCCCAGGAAGCAGCCCGTAGCAGATGTCTAACTCCCAGGTACCTATTTACTGCTAGGATGAACAGAAGCATCAGGATGAAATTCTGCCCCATTTGTTTCCATTTCCACTGGGGATCGAGCCCGGAATTTTAGGACTACGAAAACCGAGCGCTGTCCGCTCAGCCGCCAGGCCCCCTCTGACACAAAATAATTTACATTTGGAAAATATTAGAGGGACTCATTCCAAATCAGCACGAGAAAATAACTCCACATTAAACCAGGAAATAACAGGCAAGGTGTGCAAAATAGTCCTATTGAAAAGCAGAAGTGCAATAGGTACGCTGAGAGAGAATTATTATCAACATCAGAGGCCCGAGAGTGTTCAACACTCTCCCTGTACACATATGGGATATAAATGGCCGACCACTCGCGGTGTTCAAGAGGTATGATGAACAAACCACACATAAAATGAAGAAACCACGATGTTTCGGTCCATCCTGAACAGGAAACTGGTCACTTTTGTGTCTTTAGTTTTCCTAATGAGGTCCTCGCCCACTTCCTTTAGGAACTTAAGTGCACATTTACCCCAGGCGCCCAGAGTCTCAGATCCTATCGGCACAAACCTGTAACAACGTTCTAGGTACCAGTACCTGTTGGTTTTTTGGGCCTCTTTGAAGGTGGCTGCCCCACCTCCCTCAACTGTGCTATAAGGTAGATAGGTATAAGCCAATGTAGACACACATGTGTAATCCCATACGACCTGTTTACCTTCCCTCCATGGCTGCAGGGTGACTCCATCTGTGCGTTTTTGGCTGTTGTCAGGTCTGCACAACTGAGGTTCCCTTTATGCTGGACACCCAGCTGTAGCCAAACTTCTCTTGATGATGTCATTGACTGCTTCGTGTCTGACAATCATTCCCTATGTCTTACGACAGATGAGACCATGGCTGCCGCATTGGTCTGCCCGTGCATGGCCGCAAATATACCGGTGTTCGGTGGAGATAGGGGCGGCAAGAGGTAGGGCAACCCCAATATTTAGGACCCGATGGTCCAGGCGGGTGCCCAAGGAGGAATTAGAGACTGCCAACAGGAAGTCCCTGGCATGGGGAGCTTGCACAGCTAGGAGATGTGCTCTGTCCTTCCCAGAAGCTGTCTCCAGCAATGCTGTGGCAATATTCTCTACTATGGGGCTGTCCCATTTGGACTGTTTGCAGTCATTTGGAAAAGTTGGTCGAGGGTGAGAATTGACAAGAGTGTCCCACTTACCGGCTCCTTCTGCGAATTTGGGATCATGAATCCCTATGGAGTCTCTTAGGTATTCTGGTAGTATTTCATTAACTAATTCACCTGTAGCACTAATAACTAATTAGTTCATTCATTAACTAATTCAACCTGGTCAAGGATAAGAATGTTGGTAATGCTGTATCGCCTTGCGAATACCTAAACCCCCGAGTCTAACTGGGAGCGTTGCTTGGTCCCACTGGCCATCATGCAGGGAGAGGTTTAACACTTTCACAGTTATTGCTTTTAGGAGTGAGTCATATTCCATTAATTTTTTACTGTCAAGGAGGGAGCACACCTTAGGAAATAGGTAAGTCTGGGCAAAGCCAGGCACCTTTTGAGAAGGTAACAAGCATCGTGGGCATCCAAAGCCCCTATTCTTTCCTCCATCCTCCTCAGGTCGTTTAGCTTTTCTTTGAGGATTACCTCAATGAGGAGGTAAGCCCAGAGGTGCCCCTAGCAGCACACTGTTGGTGGGGAGCGATCACTGGGGCTCCTGGCAATATGATTCGTACTGTATCTATGATTGGCTGGCTACATTAGATGATTTCACACTTTGATGGGTTTATGGTGAGGCGTAACTCCTCTTCCTTAGATTTCACCAGCTGTAGGTCTCCTAGCAGGGACTCTTGTGTCCTTGCCAAGGTGCCATCGTCCAGGAACCAGATGTTGAGTTCGCTCGACAACCTGCATGTGACCTCCTTAGCTGCCATGCAGAAAAGGAAAGGGGCAAGTGGGTCTCCCTGCTGGACACCTTCTGCAGAAACAACTTCATGTTCCCCAAACAACAGCGTCGATTCCCTACTGTACCCTGCTGAGACGAAGGGGAGTAGAGAAGGAAAGTTTGTTCGAACTGCTTCCAATACCACATCTCATTTTACCTGGTTGAAGGCATGTTTAAAGTCTAATTTAATTAATGACTTATATTCTGGGAGGTGCTTGATATAGGCTCGTGCTGCATGAGCTGCTGCTTCACAGCCATGGGGGACACCAAAACCAAGTTGATGGGGTCGAAACATCGTTGCAGCTTCCGTGCAGATGTTTCTGACAGCTGCCCTAGCAACAAGGCGCCGAAGTGTGTTACCCACGGCAATGGGTCTGACTCCACCATCCTTTTTCTTAAGGGCACACAGGGATGCTCCGAAGAAGAAGGGTTTAATTGTTTCTGGGATCAGCCCGGAGAGACAGTCGTTGACAAACTTCGTGATCTCTGACTGTAGTGTCTCGGCAACTTCGCCGAGGACTGGGTTTGTCATCTCCTTGAGGTGCTGAGGTCTTACTCCAGTGTATCCCCCTGCTGAGCCTGGTGGAAATGACATGATGGCTCTGTATACCTCTGACGCTTGGAGGAATAGAGGTCCCATGTCTGGGACATTTGTGTCCCGAGCAGAGGGTTCCCACGGTGCTCTAGGAGGGTGCTTCTCTCTCAGTGAGTCGGCAGTAGCAGTATTTCTAGGGGCGATTGTTTCTTCACTGGTAAGTAACCTAATTGTTCCTACTGTGTTGCCCTCTTCAATTTTTTTTGGTCACTTGTGTTCCAAGCTTAATATTATCATTGGAACTCTTGGGTCTTCCACGACGGTTTTTGTGTTGAGGAGGGATGGGGATCAAGCTGTCAGCTCTGAGGAAATTATTTATTGCCCTAGTGACTGATGAGGCTAGTGACTTGCCTCCTCTTGCAGGTACGCCTAAGCAAATATTGCCAAACAGGAGCAAATTATAACATGCTTTGATAGTGGCTGCAGTATTAAGATTTTCAGACCGTTCATTTACTTTCCTTAAAAGGTCTGTATATTTCCCTGCTGCAAATGGGCGCGCTGCTTTAGGAATGTGGGGAAGAGTTCTGGTGGTGGATGCTGTGATGGCCCCCAGGAGGTCATCTGATGGCCCCCAGGAGGTCATCTGATGGCCCCCAGGAGGTCATCTGATGACATGAAGTTTGCTGGAATGTGTGGGGGTGCTGGGGGGACCTGTGGGCCTTCTCTCTCTACAGGTTCCGTCCGTGAACCCTCACAGCCCTTGTGCTGAAGTAGGGTTCCATCGTTTCCAAGGCCGTGAGATTCGTCACAAACCCGACACATTCCTCTGGGTGCACGTGTGGGTGCATTGTTCCCAGGACCGTCGTCTTGGCTGAGGGGTTCCTGGTGTGTACATATATATATATATATATATATATATATATATATATATATATATATATATATATATATATATATATATATATATATATATATATATATATATATATATTATTAAATATGACCGAAAAAGTAAGATTAATAATTCTAACACGAATTTTCTCAATCTTTCGTACATTACGCTTCACTGTTGGAGGTAAATCAAAAATCACTTCTCCAAAATTCATTTTTATTTCTAGTCTGACGCGACACGGGCGCGTTTCGTAAAACTTATTACATTTTCAAAGACTTCACAAATACACAACTGATTAGAACTTACGTATCTCTGCTATTATATCTACATTTGAGTGAGGTGGGAGGGGTGATGTGGCATTAACACAAGACAGAACATGAGGGGATATTAATAGGGTATTAAAAGTATCAACACAAGACAGAACAGAAACAATGGGTATTGAATAGAAGTGTTTGTAGAAAGCCTATTGGTCCATATTTCTTGATGCTTCTATATTGGAGCGGAGTCTTGAGGTGGGTAGAATATAGTTGTGCCATAATTGGCTGTTGATTGCTGGTGTTGACTTCTTGATGTGTAGTGCCTCGCAAACGTCAAGCCGCCTGCTATCGCTGTATCTATCGATGATTTCTGTGTTGTTTACTAGGATTTCTCTGGCGATGGTTTGGTTATGGGAAGAGATTATATGTTCCTTAATGGAGCCCTGTTGCTTATGCATCGTTAAACGCCTAGAAAGAGATATTGTTGTCTTGCCTATATACTGGGTTTTTTGGAGCTTACAGTCCCCAAGTGGGCATTTGAAGGCATAGACGACGTTAGTCTCTTTTAAAGCGTTCTGTTTTGTGTCTGGAGAGTTTCTCATGAGTAGGCTGGCCGTTTTTCTGGTTTTATAGTAAATCGTCAGTTGTATCCTCTGATTTTTGTCTGTAGGGATAACGTTTCTATTAACAATATCTTTTAGGACCCTTTCCTCCGTTTTATGAGCTGTGGAAAAGAAGTTCCTGTAAAATAGTCTAATAGGGGTATAGGTGTTGTGTTAGTTGTCTCTTCAGAGGTTGCATGGCTTTTCACTTTCCTTCTTATTATGTCTTCGACGAAACCATTGGAGAAGCCGTTATTGACTAGGACCTGCCTTACCCTACAGAGTTCTTCGTCGACTTGCTTCCATTCTGAGCTGTGGCTGAGAGCACGGTCGACGTATGCGTTAACAACACTCCTCTTGTACCTGTCAGGGCAGTCGCTGTTGGCATTTAGGCACATTCCTATGTTTGTTTCCTTAGTGTAGACTGCAGTGTGGAAACCTCCGCCCTTTTCCATGACTGTTACATCTAGAAAAGGCAGCTTCCCATCCTTTTCCGTCTCGTAAGTGAAACGCAGCACGGAACTCTGCTCAAATGCCTCCTTCAGCTCCTGCAGATGTCTGACATCAGGTACCTGTGTAAAAATGTCGTCAACATACCTGCAGTATATGGCCGGTTTCAAGTTCATGTCGACTAAGACTTTTTGCTCGATGGTACCCATGTAGAAGTTTGCAAACAGGACACCTAGGGGAGAACCCATGGCGACCCCATCTACTTGCTTATACATGTGCCCATCCGGGCTCAAGAAGGGTGCCTCTTTAGTACAAGCTTGGAGTAGTTTCCTCAGAATACTTTCTGGCATGTCAAGAGGAGTACAGGCTGGATCACGATACACTCTGTCGGCTATCATTCCGATTGTCTCGTCCACAGGTACGTTGGTAAACAGCGATTCTACGTCCAACGAGGCTCTTATCCCTGTGGCCCGTGTGCCCCGCAGTAAGTCCACAAATTCCTTTGGAGACTTCAGGCTGAAGGCGCAAGGAACATAAGGAGTCAGCAGGCCGTTGAGTCGCTTCGCCAGTCTGTACGTGGGTGTGGGTATCTGGCTAATGATTGGCCGAAGTGGGTTTCCAGGCTTGTGCGTCTTGACATTTCCATACGCATATCCAGGTTTATATTCCCCAATGATCTTTGGCAGGTGGAGTCCGGATTTCTTGGCGTTCACAGTTTCGATCAGTTTGTTGACCTTTGCTTTTAATTCGGCTGTAGTGTCCTTCGTTACCCTTTGGAACTTAGTTTGGTCAGAGAGTATGATGTTCATTTTCGCCAGATATTCGTCTTTTTTAAGAATGACATATATTGGCGACTTGTCACCTCTCCTGACAACTATCTCCTTGTTCTCACGAAGGCTTTTAGCTGCCGCTTTAAGCTCGGGGGACAGTATGGTGCTTCTGTAGTTGCCTCGATTCTTTCCTCCTTCTGCAATAAGTTCTGCTTGTAAGGTATCTTTGGTAGTGACCTTCTTTTGTGTCTCGAGGTCGAATATGTCGTCCAACAGAATTTCCAACTCTACTTTCCCTCTGTAGGGTAAGGCAGGTTCTAGTCAATAACGGCTTCTCCAATGGTTTCATCGAAGACATCATAAGAAGGAAAGTGAAAAGCCATGCAACCTCTGAAGAGACAACTAACACAACACCTATACCCCCTATTAGACTATTTTACAGGAACTTCTTTTCCACAGCTCATAAAACGGAGGAAAGGGTCCTGAAAGATATTGTTAATAGAAACGTTATCCTTACAGACAAAAATCAGAGGATACAACTGACGATTTACTATAAAACCAGAAAAACGGCCAGCCTACTCATGAGAAACTCTCCAGACACAAAACAGAACGCTTTAAAAGAGACTAACGTCGTCTATGCCTTCAAATGCCCACTTGGGGACTGTAAGCTCCAAAAAACCCAGTATATAGGCAAGACAACAACATCTCTTTCTAGGCGTTTAACGATGCATAAGCAACAGGGCTCCATTAAGGAACATATAATCTCTTCCCATAACCAAACCATCGCCAGAGAAATCCTAGTAAACAACACAGAAATCATCGATAGATACAGCGATAGCAGGCGGCTTGACGTTTGCGAGGCACTACACATCAAGAAGTCAACACCAGCAATCAACAGCCAATTATTGCACAACTATATTCTACCCACCTCAAGACTCCGCTCCAATATAGAAGCATCAAGAAATATGGACCAATAGGCTTTCTACAAACACTTCTATTCAATACCCATTGTTTCTGTTCTGTCTTGTGTTGATACTTTTAATACCCTATTAATATCCCCTCATGTTCTGTCTTGTGTTAATGCCACATCACCCCTCCCACCTCACTCAAATGTAGATATAATAGCAGAGATACGTAAGTTCTAATCAGTTGTGTATTTGTGAAGTCTTTGAAAATGTAATAAGTTTTACGAAACGCGCCCGTGTCGCGTCAGACTAGAAATAAAAATGAATTTTGGAGAAGTGATTTTTGATTTACCTCCAACAGTGAAGTGTAATTAATGTACGAAAGATTGAGAAAATTCGTGTTAGAATTATTAATCTTACTTTTTCGGTCATATTTAATAATATATGTCTACAGGAAAGACTGCTACCAAAATATACTAATATATATATATATATATATATATATAATATAGGATTATGGGTGGATATATATATAGGAGCAGCATCGTTCAGCCCAATAAGTGTTC